AACTGGAGCATTTATTTAAAAAAAAAATTTATATTAATTAATATATCCGATCTCGAAATAATCAAAAAGAGCTTGACAGATACTTTTGATAAGGTAGTGTATATCTGTAAATTTTTTTAGATATTTTTTTAATAAATATATTTAATGTTAATAAAAAGTTTTATAAAAAAACAATATTTCGATAAGTAATTTTATATATTTATTAAATATTATATATTATTAAAATATAAATAATTAACTTTTATTTTATAATATTTTTGTTAAGCTTATAAATACCAATCTGAATATATTAATAAAGACAAAATAAAATATGATGATATGCTAAAATTGGGTGAATTTAAAAAAATATACTAAATATATAAGGATTTTTTTAAGATTTATATTTACATTTTTTAATTTTATTTTTATAGATAATTAGTTTAATAATATTAAAAAAAGTTTATTATATATACTAAATAAAAATCTAATAAAAAATACTGATATTTAACAATTTCAAATAATGTTGATTTAAAATTATTAGAAAAGATATTAAACAAATATTCTTATTATCCTTATAATATTGATTTTGAGATATAATATTACACTTTTTATAAAATAAAAATTTTTAACTAAAATTGTAATTAGTATAACTGATAGTATAAAGATTATCAAAAATTTATTTTATTTAAATTTAATATAGAATATTATTTTAATAATCTATTTTATTGTATTTATTTTTATTATATTTCAGTTATTTTGTATACAATTTTTATATATCTTTAAAATATAATTACTAAATATTTATATTTTAATTTGCAAAATGATAAAATCAAAATAATAAATAAGTGTTTTATAATTCAGCTTAATATTACAAAACCTGATAAATATCATAAATTAATTTATAATTCTATATAATCTTTTTAATTATAATAAAATAATAAATTAATAATTATTTAATTATATTTATATAAAGTTAAAAATTATATTATCAAAGAAATAATTAGAAAATGAACAGTATATATCTAGTTATATTTTATTACATAATTCTTAAAAATATAAAAAATATTTACTTATTATAACTATATTAATAAATATACATAATTATCTAACTTTATCATCTTGAAAAATATTATATAATATAAAGAACTAACTTCAAAAAATAATTAATGATAAGTTTATACTTGATTAACAATAAGAAATTTTTAATATGTATATTTATCACTTATTATTTATATTTTTATAATATAAAATAAAAAATTGTTTTAAATAATTAATTTTAATAGAATTTATAATTCAAACTTACTTAAATATAAAATCTTTAAAGGCTTCATTGATAGAATTGTTTGAAATGCATACATTATCATGTGGCAGATGATTTAATTTTTATAATAGTCTTTATTTATCATTAAATAATTAATTCGTAATTTGTGTAATAATCAGAGAAAATCATCAAATTTAATTAATGTTGATCAAGTTAAGAATATATTATAATTATAAAATAAAATAAAAAACGTCTGAATCTCTTTTTCCTTTTTCACAATTGCTATACAAAAATATTTGTAAAATAGCAAAACATAAAAAATATGATATATTTTTAATTTCTATGGAAATTATTAATTCTAAGTTGCATTTTGGGCCCTTTTCAATAGTTGGTAGACTATTAATAACTAAGAAACAGAATTTTTAGTTCCTATTCATTTACATATGAAAATTTTAACTACTTTAAATGAATAAGACTTTATTATAACAGTTGTAAAGGATAATAAAGAATATTCTGAATAATCAGGATATCTTTACACTTGTGATGCATTTGTATTTCTAAGCTAAATAATTCTAGTTTTAATGTAATAACCACAGTATATCAGCAAATATTTCACATTAAAACTAAATTTTTAGGTCCTATGGTAATAGAGTTTGAGAAATCAGACATTTATAAAAAATTATTAGAAGGCATTTTATTCTGTCCATATTTTATAAATCTTGAATTAATACGAATTTTTATATTTGAAATTGCAAAGTCAAAAAATAATCAATGAGAATGTGCTAGTGTCAGATTTAAATCAAGTTTTGTATTTCAATTAGCAAAACAACATTGTTTATTTCTTCAAGAGTTTAAAGAATCTATATGTAAAGTAACTGTAATGCAAAAGACTAATATTGAAAGGATATATTATGAAAGTACACCTGATCTTGTATATAAAGAAATCTTTTATGAATAAAATACAAAAATTGCAAAATTAATGGCATTTACTAGAAGAATGCTATTTGGAATTGATAATACTCTGATATAACAATTGATTGATACTATAAAAATTTCTTCTTGCTCATTAAGTGATTAGAGTAATGATGTTCTTATAGAAGAGATTTTCTTTTATCATCTTAAGCAATGAACTAATAGTCATGTAAATTATCATGACTTTTTAAACAAGTGGCAGGAATAAGAAACAATTATTAAATTACATAGCAATTTTAAAGCAATTATATTCTACAAATTATCAATCAAATGAGCGTGAATTAAATGCATGGAGGATAATACTTTATTATATAGGATGTCATAATATAACACTATTTTTAAATCAAGAATCAGAGGTAAGAAAATAAATTATTTATTTAAAAATAGAAAAATATATATTCTAATTAGCTGATTTATTTGATTTATTATAGTATAAATTTTAGACCAGATCACTAAATTCTGATATTGAACGAGATACATTAAAATAATTAAATGAACTTAGTTTATTGATAGCATATCCAATAAATTTTTATGATGTATCTAATACATTTTGGAACTACTTTTGAAAAAGTTTGATGATTAATAAAAAAGGAGTTGATAGAAAATAAAAAATACTATCTATAATAGCAAATGATTTTAAATATAAGAAATTATAAGAACAATTATTGGTATTTATTAATAAAAAGTAATTGAGTTTTATTTTATATAATCATTTATTAAATCTTTTTTTTATTAAGCTTCAAATGATTTGATATCAAGAACATGTATTTACTATCATTTAAATAGATCTGGTAGTTTTTTTAATAAAAAAAACCTTTTTTTACACATAAAAAATTATTTGTAAAAAATTGAAAGAATTTGAAAATTTTATTAATAATAAGACGCATATAATTATAAGTTCTTATAAAACAGATAGCAAAACTGATGAACTAATCAAATACTTTTGTGATACTAAATAAACTCTTTGAGAAAAATTTTATACTAAATTTTGTAATGGAATTTGTTGTATAACATTTATGACTAAATTACAAGAAAATGAATTTATACATTAAGAAGATTTAGGTGGTCTTTGTTTAACTTATAATCAATATAGATATGAAATATTTGATGATATAAAAAAGCTTATTGAAAATAAAATTATAAATATCATTAAAAAGGTAAAATTTATTTGATATAATCATAATTTATATATAATTATTTTAATATTAAAATTCTTTTATTACTTTTAGAAACAATTTCTTAATAATTTTAAAAAATTACAATGATTTTTAAAACGAGATTATGAAAAAATTCTAATTGTTAATAATAAAGAAATAATAAAATATAATACTTGTATTAGTTATTACTTATTATAGACTTTTGGAGTTTATACAAAAAATCATATACATGTATCTCAAGAATGTTCTAAATTATTTACCTTTTTTAATCATCTTAAAGATCAATTTTCTATAAACTTGTATAAAGATCTTGATGAGTATCAAAATCATTTATTATATTATCTTACTCATCAGGCTTATAAGGTCTATTTAAATACTCAATTTAATGCTAATTTACTAGATTTAAATAAAAAAGATGCTGTGTTAGTTGTTAATTATAAAATAAAAATATTACCAAAAAGTGCTAAAGAAACTAAAGCAGAATTTTTTGGAAAAAAAAACTGAATATTACATACAATTCTTATATATACTAAAAGATTAGAATCTCAAGAACTTGATGTTTACGCTTATAATTATTAGTCAATAGATATACATTAGGATTCTTAGTTTACTGCTTCTTCACTACATGCTGTAATTGAATCATTAAAAAATAAACCAAAATGAATATTAATTATTTCAGATAATGGTCTATATTACCATAATGCAGATCTAATGATAATTTTAAGTTATTGGTTAAAATAGAATCAAATAAATATAAAGAAATGGATATTCTTAGAAGTAGGAGAAGCTAAAATAGCTATTGATAGTCATTATACTCAGGTATTAAATAAAAAATAAATATTTACTTTATAAAAAAAATCTAATATTTATTTAATAGATTATTCATGCAATCAAATGTTAAATATATCTTAGATTTGATATAATAGAAGATGCTGATATTGAAACTACTATTAAAAATATTTGTGAAATATCTGTTGTACCTTTAGAACTAAATCAATCAAAAAGTATATTTAAAATCAAAAAAAAAAAATAATAAATGAATATTATCTAACTTTGATTTATTTTAGATAAAGAAAAAAAAGTAAAGAATACTTTTCCTGATAATTCTAATTTATTTCAATGGACTTGATTAGGAGAAGGACTAATGAAAGGTTACATTTTTAATAGAGAAGTACCTAATATTAGAAAATAGACAAATTTTTCACCAGCTAATTTGCAAAAAAACAAATTGAAATTCCTAAACCTATAATATTAATTTACACAATTCCTAACAATCAATAGAAAATTTTTATGCCAAATACATCAGGTGATGGTGTATTATATTTTTTTATATATATAATATATAGTATATTCAATTATATTCCACTTTTATTCTAGGTATTAATCCTAAAAAATTAACAAAAGAACAATTAATATTTGAATTAATAAAATGAAATATCAATATTATTAAAATTGCTAAAAGGAATGAATTAATTAAAATATTAGAACTCATCTTAATCAATAATTCAGAAATAATATAAGATAAAAAAAATTCATTTTAAAATAATGAAATAAAATTGTCTAATCATGCTATTTATTTTTAGATATTTCTAAAGAATAAGAAAATCAAAATATTAGTATTCAGTAAGTAAACTTATTTTTGAAAGCAAATTATAGCAGTAATTTAAAAATCAAAAATCTTCTTTCAATAGGACTTCATTTCATGATTTTCCCTTAGATCTGGATGGGCATTAAAAAGCAAGCAAAAATATGGTAAAAAAGGAGGTGGAAAACATATATCTAAAAAAATATAGAAAGTTTTAGAAGAGTATTTTTTAGAAGGAGATATTGATAAAAGTAAAAGGTATATTGCCACTATTATATTAGAAAGTCTAAAAAGAAAAGTTGAAAAGGAGAACTGGAAGACGAAAAAATTCTAAAATTACTAACTATTCAAGATTAGATTTCTTGTTATTTAGCATAATATCGTTAAAAAATAGCAGAAAAATCATTTAATACATTAAGATTATAATAAAAATTAAATAAACAACAAAATAAAAACCATTTTATAAAAAATATATGAAAAAAATATAAAATTGAAATTTTAATAAATTATGAAATTACAGCTTGGAATCCACCTTTTCTTTAAATTAAAGTTATTGGAAATGTCAAAAAATTTTTCAATAATTTAACGCAAGAATAGGTTGGTTATAATTGCTATAATTAGCTAGTATAATAAATTATACAATATGAGTCAAGTGATTTTTTAATAATGGATTAAGAACACAATTTTTATTTATTAATTATATGATTTATAAAATTTCCCCCTAATTTAGCATAGTAAATTTTTCTGATTGTTATATAAATCATGAATTAATCTAAAATTAATTATTATATTGAAAAGGCTTGTTATTTGCAATATCTATTTTACCAAATTATTTTGGAAATAATATATGAATATATAAAATACAATCAAAGTGTAGATATATATATTTAATTAATTAATAATTAATTTTAATTAAATTTATTGCATATTATATCTAATTAAAAATATTTGTATATAATTATTATGTTTAAATTACCTATATAAATAATAATGATTAATTATATGATATTACATGAATTTTTTAAAAATAGAAATTTGTGTAATTAATTTTAAGATTCAAACTCAAATTTGCTAAAAGATAAAATTTCCTTTTTTGAAATTTATGTAATATCACGTGATTTCTCCTGATGCAAAATAACAGATTTCAGCCAATTATGTAATTAAATATTAAATATATATTTAATTTATATTTTAGGTTTTCTTAATACATTATTTTATGTAGTATTAAATAACAAATCAAATTACTTTTTAAATTAATATATGTTAAAATTTATATATTATTTAAAAGAATATATAATATTATAAATAAAAAAAAAATATTTGTATATATACTTCATGTATTAAAAAATAAATCAATAATTATATAATCTAGCAAATATTTATAATTTTACTAATTTATATATATTAAAATATATAGTTTTAATTTTTATTTAAATATTTACTAATATTAAAATAACTAATATATAAATATATAGGTTCTTTGCAATAAAAAAAGAAGAAACTACTAAAAAAATTTTTTTGAATTAATGTTAAATCTGAATTTATTTTATTAAAACAAATAATATTTAGTTTATAAAGCAAAAAAAATATTTTTTGATAGTTTCCTCCTTTTTTATTGCAAAGAACTTATATATTAAACCTATTTGAAAATTTATTTAGATGTATTAAAAAAATATAGATGAAATTTTTAATTTTTATCATATTTATGAAAAAGGTTTAAGATGTATTATTGCAAATTAATATAAAGGATAATTTTAAATTTATATAAAATATATTACTAAATAATACATTTTTTAATAAAGATTAAATTAATATCTATTTTCAAATATTTTTTTTTTTATTTCTAATTAAACATTTGCAATATATTTATAAATTTTACCAAATTCATTAAAAAATAAATTTGATTTATCTATTATTTATGAATTATTACTAATTAATATAATCAATTATATTTTTATTTTAGAAATATAATTAAAAATAAACAATTATTAAATGAAATTCAAAGAGTTATCTATTTAATATTTTTTTTTAAATACACAATAATAAGTATTAGATATATTAAATAAAATATAATATAGTGGTAAATTAGAAAAAGAAGGTAATTATTAAATTAAAATTTTTGTTAATTTTAGTTTAAATAATTACAATTACTAATTTTTTTATAGTTTAGGTAAAAAATAAATGTAATTTTTAGGTATTATTTAAAATATCAGTTGTATTTACAAAAATAAATTATATTGTTTGAAATCAAATATCCAATAATATTAATATAGTAGAAAATGTATATATTAATATAAATAATAGATGTAATTTTTTAATACTTTGTTATAATTATGTAATATAATTTTTATTTAAATATTTATATAAATTTCTTTTTAAGAGAATGTAATTTTGATAAATGATTATAATTATTTATAAATAATATAATATTCTGGATTTTTATAAAAATAAATCAGATTTAACTCAATTAATTTAAGCTAATTAAATATAATTATTAATTTAATTAATTATTTAATTTTATAACTGAATATATTATTATAACTAATATAATAATAATTTTATTTTTTTTAGTAAATCATAAAGTAAATAAACTTTAAATATAGTAAAAAACATAAAAAACAAATCTTATAATAAAAAAAATATAAATAAAGTTATTAATTTAAATGAAGATTTGTACTTAAAGTAACTAAAAAAAATTAATGTTTTAATACAAGAAATATGTAAACAAATAATAGAAAATTATATT